CCTGGTGCGCGTGGCGCACCTGGCACGCGTGGCGCACCTCGCCCAAGCGTCGCGCACATGGGGTCGGCGTTGGTTCCCAGTAACTGCCCATCCAAAGACGACCGCTGAACATGCTCAGGCTCGGGTGTTACTTATGTGTTGGGAGGGCGGGTGGGAGTGAGCTGGACGGCTTGCGGGCGGGGGGGTAGCTTGACTCGTCCCCCAGCCCCCTCCCCTGGACCTGGACGGGAGGGGGCTCGCGAGGCGCCAGGGCGTCCAAGATAGCCTGAGATGGCTCCAAAAGGGCCTCAGAGAACCCAAGATGGCCTCCAAGATCGCTCAAGGTAGCCCTACATGGCTCAAGATAGCTAACAACATGCCTCCAAGAGGCCCCAAGAGGGCAACAAGACGATTCCAAATGCTTTTGGACACCCCTCAGGACCTCCCGGGAAAGCCAACATCCTTCAAAAGCCTAGGGAAAATCAATGATGTGTGCCTTATTCCCCTTTTCGCTTCTGATGCGTTTTTGAGGCGTCAAGGCGGCCCCAGGCTGGCCGAAGAGAGTTCCACGAGGGGCCCCAGATGCCCCCAAGACGGCCCCAAGACCGCCCAAGATCGCCACAAGAGAGGCCCAAAAGGCTATTTTGATGGCCCCAAAGGGGGGGACTGAATAGTAGGGGACCCCCCCTCGGTTCACCGACGCCCTCCACGACAGCCCGAAGAGGCCCTCCAGGCAAGAGGGACACAATAAGCACCCAAGATGCCCCAAGAGGCCACCAAAAGGCCCCGAAGAGGCCGCCAAGAGATCCCCCGAAACACCCAAGACGCTCCAAGAGGCGCCGGGGACAGCCAAGAAGCCCCCAAGACGCCCCGAGAGGCCTTCAGGAAGCTCCCAAGAGACGTCCGAAGAGACTCTAAGAGGCATCCAAGGGGCTTTTGGCCCTTCTGCTTGCTCTTTTCCATCTCCTCCTCCTCCTCCTCCTCCTCCTCCTCCTCCTCCTCCTCCTCATCCGCTTATTCCTCCCCCTCCCTCCTCCCCCCTCCTTTTCCCTACTCAGCCGTTCCCCCTCCTCCTCCTCCTCATCCTTCTTCTCATCCCGCATCCTCCTCCTCCTCCTCCTCCTCGTGTTACCTCGTGTTCCTCGTGTCATTTAGTTTCCTCGTCATTCGTCCTTCCTCTCCTTCTCCTCCTCCTCCTCCTCCTCCTCCTCCTCCTCCTCCTCCTCCTCCTCCTCCCCCTCTTCCTCCTCCTCCTCCTCTTCCTCCTCCTCATCCTCCTCCGATTCCTCCTCCATCCTCCTCCTCTTGGGGTATGACAGTTTCCATGGCTCTTTGTTCCTCTGCATGCTCCCCGACTTCCCTCATCAAGGCAACTCGTCTGGGCATCGTTGCTGGATGGGCTGGTGGGGCTTTGCAAAGCGTGAGGAATGTTCCCAATGGGGGGCTCTCTCCGTTTCATTGCGACCTCACTTCTCCCCGATACACTCATGTATATAAGTGTGTGTGTGTATATATGCATATATATATGTATGTATATATATATATATATATATATATATATATATATCCGCCGATCCGGCGTGTGAGTCTGAGAGCGTGGACTTGAGCTCGCTCAAGCTTCGCTCTGCAAGGGGGAGCGGGGGAGACGCCATCCCCGAATGAATTCTAGTGCTCGGGAGCCGGGGGGAGGTCGCTCTGCAAGGAGGGGGAGGGGACGTTTCTGAGAGCGTGGACTTGAGCTCGCTCAAGCTTCGCTCTGCAGGTGGGTGGGGCGCCATTCCCGAAAGCATTCAGTGCTCGGGAGCCGGGGGGGGGGACGCCATTCCCGACGGCATGCAGTGCTCGGGAGCGGGGCGGGCGATCTCGCCCTGCAAGGGGGCGGGGGGGAAATGAGACGCCATTCCCGACGCCATGCAGTGCTCGGGAACGGGAAAAAGGGTTTTCTCTGCAGGGGGAGGGGAGGGTCGCCATCCCCAACGCCACTCAGTGCTCAGGAACGGGAGGGGGGGAGGGGGGGGGGGGGCGCATTCCTGGCGCCATGCAGTGCTCGGGGGCGGGGGGGCTTCGCTTCCGACGGCCCCCAGACGCCGTCCTCCAAGAGCGCCACCCAAAGATGGCGTGCAACAGCTATTTCAGCATCTCATTGCTTTAGTGGTGACTCACGCGAGAGCGTCATTTTCGAAGACCCAACGGTTTCTCAACCGATTTCCACATGTTCATCTTATGAAAATGTCTCGAACGAGGGCTGGATCTTCAGCATACACGGTCATCCATGCCCATCAGCATCGGGAGAGCCCCGGATCGGCGGCACTGGCTGGAGGGCACTACAATTATCACAGGCACCTTTTCCGAATGAGTTGAGCTAAGAGGCGATTGGTCGTGAAGCCATTTCGCAATTTCGTTCGGGAAATCCTCAACATTCTAAACGTCGGATGCGCCCCTCATGCAGATCGCGACGTGACGGTCTAAACGCACACTTGTTCCAACCGATCTACCAAAACGCATTCAACTACACGATGGAATTTGATGATTTTGAAACCGGCTTCCGCGCATGGCAGCTTCACCGGAGACACCCTTCAAATCTCGAGCCCCTTTTGCAACTCGATTCTTAAACAAAATCAGCTTCGTTTGAGACATCCTCGATGCGTCGAGCCCCGACGTACAACAAACGCACCGAATTCAAACAAGACACACGCACACACATACGCACACACACACACTACAAACACTCCACACACAGCACGCACCGAACACACACACACAACATAACACAACACGCACGCGCAACACACACGTCACACACACACACACGCACACACGCACACACACACACACACACACACACGCACACACACACACACGCACACACACACACACACGTCACACACAACACGCTCAACACTAGCAACGCACCCTCACACAACGTACACGAAATCACACACACACGTAACACGCACAACACGCAAAGCATACATAGCCCACATATAATCCACACATAGCGCATACAACACACAACACACGCACACAGCACACAACATACATAACACACCCGTTGCACACACACACACACACACACACACCACACACACACACACACATCTTGCGCAGATGTTGGCATGAGGCTGGGCACGCGCATGCCACTTGCAGAACTGACCTCCCCATTACCTGTAGGACAGGATCCACAGACGGATCGTTTGAAGCAACACGGTTCTCATTGCCGAATTTCACCATCGAAACGTGCCGAGCTGCGATGAGCGGCGTGCGAATTCAACTCTAACACCACCGCCCGCCTCGTATCGTGGCTCTCGCGTTGACGCTGGCCCCGCGCCGTGTACAGCGCGGACGGGCTGTGCGCGAATCGCTATTCTGTTGCGCGCGAGTGCGCCTGCCCCCGCATGCGCACGTACGCCTCGCGCTTCGCCCGCAGCGGAGGCGCTCGCGATGGCATCGGCGCGCGCGCGTGCGCATCTCTGAAGGGGCCCACAAACACACAAATAAATACACACAAATAACAGGAATCACCATATTTTTCCATATTCTCTGGGCTTCTGTCTTCCCCACCACTTCCCAGATTTTCCCATCTTTTCCTGGGAGTCGACGATCAATTGTGTCTGTGTGCTTCTTTCCCTCCTGAATCTCCAGCGCGCGCCAATCCCGTCGCGCGCCACGCGCACGCACGCGCGCAGGCACCATCGCGCGCGAGGAACCCCCAGCGCGGGCGCGAGCCCTCCGGGCGCGCGGGCGGCTCGACAACTCCTCGCCCGACCACGCCGCGTGGACAAGTGTGCCCCGAGGCCAAGCTCCCCCTACAGCCGGGGCGCTGACGAAGGAACCCTTCTCGTTGGGGAGGAGCTCGGTGTTCCTTGATTGTTTTGCAGTTCGCCTTGGGTTTCCCTGAGGTTTTTCCCTGGGGGGTCGAAGTTTAAGTTATGGGAAACGACTAAGGAACCCTTTCCGTTGGGGAGGAGCTCGGTGTTCCTTGATTGTTTTGCAGTTCGCCTTGGGTTTTCCTGAGGTTTTTCCCTGGGAAATCGAAGTTCAAGTTATGGGAAACAGGGGCCTCGTTCCATATTTAGGGTTCCTTAGGTCGACGCCCCGACTGTGTGAGTTTACAACCCGAACGGCGCTTCAGCAACTTTTGTGGCACGTCTTCCCACAGCATTTTGCCATCGCCACTCTGTCGTGGCGCTGCGCCGCCGGCGGATCTCGTCGTCCGCCGCCTTTTGCTTGTCCTCGGCAGCTGTTCATTTGGTGGCCTGGATGTGTCGTCCGCCTCCTTTTTTCGTCGTCGTCCTTTTGCCTTGTCGTCGGCCGTTCTTGTCATCGGTCCTTGTTTGTCGTCTGTTCTTTTTGGTGTCCTTCACGGCCAGACTCAGAACTTTACTCGGGCTCTTCAACAAAGTTGGGGTCCTCCACGGCCGGATACATCTTCCATCCCTTTCACGTTTCGCGCGCGCCCACACCACCCCGTCTGGAAACGATGCCCAGGCGTTCCTCATAGGAGTTCGACCGTTGGTCCTCGCCCAACCCCCTTGAGAGACCATGCGCAACCGCTGGGGGTGGCTCAACGCCAACAGCGTTTTGAGACGCGTGACGGGCGCCGGGGCCTCATTCACAGAAAACAAACGACTGCGATCTGATTGTTTGGTCCTTCGTCCTTCTGCGATCACGTGGACATGGACTGGAGGGAAGCATACAACAAGACCCTTACAGACAAGCAGCTTGGGGGAGAAAACAACCCTAGCACCCACAAAACACTCCCAGAGTCCGCAGGATAGCCCAGAATCGAATCGATGAGTCGCATGGGAGACGGACAGGAATCGGACCGGCGGAAATTGGAAGCCAAGTCGGGAAAAGTCGATTCGGAGGACATCGGCAGGCTAGTACGCCTCCAATGAGACATCGGAACCCGCATCGGAATCCCAAGTCGAACCGAATCGACAGCGGAGGCCATCGAGGTCGTATCGAATCGGAGGAACCGAAGCGAGCCCGACGCCCGTGGCCCCGCCCGCAGCCGCCGCCTCCGACCACCAGGCGAAGCGCCACCGAGCCGTTGGCGGCCTCCACCTCCTCCACGCGGCCCGCGAAGGAGAGGCCGCCCCGGCTCACCTCGACCCCGGGGCGCGCGGCACACCCCGAGGCAGGCCCGGGCCAGAGCCCCGAGGGGAGGCGGGGGGCGAGGAAGCGGTCGTCGCATCCTCCATCCCTGCCTTGTCCTCCCTGCTCCCGCCTCCCCCCTCCTCCCTCCCTCCCTCCCTCCCCCTCCCTTCTTCCTCCTGCTCCCTGCCTCCTCCCTCCCCCTTCCTCCCCCCTCCCCCTCCCCATCCTCCTCCTCCTCCTCCTCCTCCTCCTCCTCCTCCTTCTCCTCCTCCTGTCCTTCAACGCCAACGTGGTGACGTCTCCTCCTCCTCCTCCTCCTCCTCTTCCTCCTCCTCCCCCTCCTCCTCATCCTCCTCATCATCACCATCACCATTACCATCACCATGACTATTACTATGACCATGACCATGACCATCATCAACATCACCACCATCAACAACACTCATTGTCAGACCGTTCGCTCTCGTATGCTCGATGTTTCATTAAACGTGTATTTCCTAAACCCTGGAAGCCCGCCCTCTCCGTCTTTGATCGTGTTCCTTTTGGGCAGTATATCTTTAAACTCTGCTAAATGTAATTGGCGCAGCCCTTTGAACAGGAAGAACATAAACAATGGAAAAGGGAGACGGCGAGGAGGAAGGGAGCGAAGGAAGGGAGGAGGGAGGGAGGGAGATGGAGAACCGATAGGGATTAGCAACAGGGATTAGCAACAGGAGGTGGCAAGGAAGTCTCAGGCGAGAGCGCGGTTCTCGAGCAAAGTATGATGAAGTCCTGAGCGAGAGCGTGATTCCCGAGCGGCGAGAAACCGATTCGCGAATAGATCGCACGTGTAGAGAAGTCTCCGGGGACAACGCGGCTCCTGGATAGATTGCCAGAGGCCCCGACGAGCGCGCGATTCTTCAACAGGTGGTGAGGAAGAATAAGGCGGGAACCGCTGTTGCTGCAAACCGGGGGCCAGGGGCGCTTGTTTGGAAGCCCAAGACTTCCCCTGGTAGAAAACAAGACGTACTCTGCGTGTCCACGTCCAAGGCGTTTCACGAGGTCGGACGCCAGACGCGGGGAGGAACCTGAATGGCCTCCGCCCCGGCTCCAGTGACCGTGACCAGAGAGGCACGCGGAAGCGCCGGTGCCGACGGTGTCGACCCCGGTCTTCGTCCAGCTTGGCCGCCGCCCACTCGTGGGCAGTCGTCGCGGATCGGCGACGGCCAAGAAGGCCAATGACCCAGGCCAGCGTCGACAAGACCCCGCGGCATCTCGGCCCTGCTCATCTTACCAGCCTGGAACATGTCCCTATCCCTATGCTGGGCATCTCCTCATCACGATGCCAATCTTAGGGATTCCCTTATTTTTTGACGGAGAATCCCTAAGATTGTCATCGCCTTTTGGCGTGTCAATCTTAGGGATAGGGATAAGTTCGAGGCTGGTAATCATCGTGTTCCTTCCCTCGACTCGGGGCCTTTCCCAAAGGGGGGCGGAGGACGGCAGCGCGGCCCTCCCTCCTCGGGTAACCTGCCGGCTGTCCTCGCCGACAGCACGGGCTCGTCGCCACCAGTGAAGGGGCCCTGGGACACACAAACAAATACACACAAAAAAAAGGATTCTTCATATTTTCCCATCTTTTCTGGGTTTTTGTCTTCCCCCCCCTTCCCATAGTTTCCCATATTCTCTGGGGAGTCGACGATTACTTGTGTCTGTGTGTTTTTTCCCTCCTGAACCAGGACCGCCGCGGTCCCCACCACGCCCTCCGCTGCTCGCATCCCCCCCCCCGTGCGTCTCCTCCGGTCTGCACGCCGCGGGAGCGGGGGCGGAAAGCATGGGCACGATGCCCAGACATGCTCGCGTCGCAACAAAATCAGGACGGCAATCGTTTCGCTGCTTTGGGCCCCATCGGGGCCCTCGCTGGGGCCCGGGGACGTCAAAAAGCGACTCATGATGAACAACCCGCCCCAGGGAAAGAGTCGGGACTTCCGGGGACGCCGCCCTGAAAAACGCAGGACGTCGAATGTCTGGGTGCCCAGCAGTTGTGCCCGTCTGTATGGAGCGAGACACTCTGTCGTGCGGGACCCTTCGGACAACAAATGCTGTGTCGCTTCGACAGAGAAGTTGTTGCCCAATGGGACGACAAGTGCTGTCAGGTGGGCGGGGGCTGCTGTCAACCCGGCAAGGTTTGCCTCCTGATGGGCCACGACGG